TTTATTTTCTATTAGCATTTATAACACTATAATTACCTGGTTTGTTCATTTGGGTATATAATCTGTCAACTGCTGGAACTTCATGAGGTCCGGAACTTTGATGTTTTGTTCCCTGCAGTGTCCTCAGAGTTTGGAGAAGTGCCTGGCGTATGGTAGAAACCTAGTAACTATTTGTTGAGTGAATGAAAAATAGATGATCTGTTCCACTTCAGATTTATGATCCATCAAGTACAACTAACATTAAAGGAAATAATTCGGTTTTTGCTTTTTAAAAGTCTTACATTGATAAATGCAAAATTCCTGCAGTCAATTGCCACAAATATGTAAAGTTCTAGTAGTTATAAAAAACTAACTGCTATGGTCTGAATGTTTGTGTCCCCCCAAAATTCGTATGTTGAAATCTTTTTTTTTAAAGATTTTATTTATTTATTTGAGAGAGAGAGAGAATGAGAAAGAGAGAGAGAGCATGAGGAGGGGAGGGTCAGAGGTAGAAGCAGACTCCCCACTGAGTAGGGAGCCTGATGTGGGACTCGATCCCAGGACTCCATGATCATGACCTGAGCCAAAGGCAGTCGCTTAACCAACTGAACCACCCAGGCACCCCATATGTTGAAATCTTAATGCCTAGTGTTATGGTATTAGGGTGGTATTAGGAGGTGCTCTCATAGCCAAGAGATGCCACAAAGTTCCCTTGTTCCTTCTGCCATTGAGGATACAACGGAAAGTCTATAACCCTAAAGAGGGGGCCCCCCCGTTTGTTTTATTTTGTTATAGCTGTCTGAAGGACTAAGACTAATCGTTTGCATTTCTGAATAAAGGTTTTAGTACAGCCTCTAACAGATGACTGCTTATTTCCTTATGGGTAGCTAGTAGAGAAAGTCAGAGAACCTGGAATCTTGTTTCCCTTGTGAATCTGGCAAGTGTGCTGGTGTTTGAGAGAATTGTCTCTCTAGTTCTTACCTAAAGTAAATTTAAAAGTTGATTGACAATTCTAGATCTATGGCGAAGTTGGATTTAAAAAAAAATTGTGTACTAACAGCAATAACTTATTTTTCTGTCCATATCCTCTATCCTGCATCCTGTACTTATTTCCTGATTTCTAAACCCATATATCTGATCCAGTAGCCATCTCTATCAAGATGTCCCACAGACACCTTGTAAAAGTTAGAACTCCTTCTGCAACTAACTGATACCTACATAAAACCAGATTATACCAAAGGGAAATTTTTTTGGCTCTTTTTACCTGGGAAGAGCAGGGATGGCACTGGCCCCAGTATCAACTAGATCCAAAAGCTCAATTGTTATCTGGATGTTCTCTCCCAACTCTCATCTCATCTTCTTCATCTGTTGGCATTGTACTTTTTTCTGTAAGTAGGTTTCCGCCGTGTGATAAGAACAGTGACCACAAGCAGCCAAAAACTTACATTATCTACCTTTAATGAACTCAGAAGAAAGAACCTCTTTCCCAGTTTTACTGTGAAAAACCAGGCAGCAAAAACACTTTGATGTTGCCAGCCTGAGGCTTCTACAAACCCATCTGGGGTCATGTTTGTTAGTGTTATTGGAAGAGTACTTAAATATTGGTTTAAATATTGGTTTGGTTCTTAAAGATAAATAATGGTAACTTAAATGATATTTCTTTTTCTTTCACATAAAAATCCAAGCTGGTAGATGGTCTGGGGGTAGATTGGCTCTGTTTCTAAGGTGTTCAGGCTCCTTTTTTGTTGAGATTCTCCCATTCCCTAGGATGGTACCCTTGTCTGTATGGTGATGGATCACTATTTTTAATCTGCTTTCCATATCCTACAAGCAGGGAGAAAGAGAGAGTGGAAGGCATGCAACTGCTTTTAAGCTAGCAGTTACAGCTAGCAGACTGGTGTCCAGAACTAGTTACATGGTCACCCTTAGATGCAAGGAAGGCCAGGAAATGTGATCTCTAGTAGATAGCCATTGTTCTAGTTAAAATTGGTTGGGGAGAGTGGAGAAGAGGTACCTTATATATGTTATTAAATGGAAGAAGGGAAAAATAGTTGTTAGGGTATTGACCTCTTGTCACAGGTAATTTTGTTATTTTATTTATAGCACAATCACATGATTATACTTGACGACATAGGAGAAGACTATTTCCTAAAGGTAAGAGGGATAGAGGTGCTATTAATAGAAGACGTTGGTGGCAGCGGGAGAGGTCATGGCAGACAAAAGTAACATCTATACCTTCAAATCAACATATCAGAAACTTAGTGTCTTCCAAAACAGTGTGTCTTATTTGTCCAAGTTCATTTAATACCACTACCATCCAGCCAGCTATCCAAACTAAATGTGGTAATAATTATACACTCCTCTTGTTTCTTCAGTCTCACCCATGATTATACTTCCTAGGTGGGACTTTCTCCTTCTTCCCACAATTACTTCTTTAGTTCTCCCCACAGTTACTTCATCTCCCCCATGGGATATTTCGACAGTCTCCCCTCCAGTTTCAGTACACTGTTCCCATGTAGCCTGAGTGATACTATCAAAAGACCAATCTGATCATGTCACTACCTTGTTCAAACAACAAAACAAAAACATTCAGTTACTTTCCATTGCCTGCATGATAAAACCTTGCAAGTTATAAGATACTCCATAATCTGACCCCTAATTAGCTTCTCTGTTATTTTCTAGTGTCCGAGCATTCTATCCTACTATTATTGTCCCAGTTTCCTTGGTGTCATGCTGTTTTATCCTTCTCTGTTTTTTCCCATTCCTCTATTTTCACCAGGAAGCCTTCTCTGACCACCTACTTCTTCCACTAGAGTTTACCACTCTCTCCTTTTGCTACCTCTGTAACTTATTCATTGCAGATACTTGTTTACTACAGTCTCCATGATTAGAGTGTGCACCCCTGAGGGAACTACATCTTTCATCTATATTCCTAGTGTCTGACACATTATAAATCTTTAAAAATATTTACTGAATGAATAAATGAATTAATTGAAAAAATCCTATCTTTTATATATTGGCTCTCTGTTACTTACTACCATCTCTATCATAAATGTATATATGGTGTAAGAAAATAAAAATTTTTCTGAGTTTCCTTTTTTAGATAATAAGAGGAGTTTCTGGTCGAGTTTGGATATAAGTATTTGTAATATGAAACAAAATTCAAGTTGGTTTTATTTCATATACAGTTAATTTTTTTTCAGTGTTTATTTTAGTCATCTCAGGCTGCCCTAACAAAATACCATAGGCTAGGTAGCTTAAACAATAGATGTTTATTTCTTACACTTCTGGCTGAACAATCTAAGGTCAGGTAACCAGCAGATTCGATTCCTGGTGAAGGCCCTCCTCCTGGCTTACAGGAAACTGCCTTCCTCCGTATGTCCTTCACATGGCAGAGAGTGAGTTCTGGTCTCTCTTCCTCTTTGAATAAGGGCACCAAACCCACCATGGAGGCTCCCATCCTTGTGACCTCATTTAGACCGAGGGTCCCACCACCAAATATCATCGTATTAGGGCTTCAGCATATGAACTTGGGGGGAAACACAAATATTCAGTCCATAAATATCCCTGCTCCTTTTCACTCTTGGTTCTAAAGAGTTCTAAGATCTTCTCAATATGAAATGAATTTTTATTTTTGCTTTAAAGTTACTTTGAATTAATGATATTCTCAAGGGTCTTTTTTTTGAAATGGTCTGTGGTATACTTGTATGTTTAAATGAAGGCTTAGATTCAGTCTATTGACCAGTACTATATTAAGTGAAGGTTTATTATATCAACCACAACACATTATGAGAAAACAACTTTTTCCTAGTTTTACTAAAATTAGAAACTTATTATTTTAAAAGCAGTGCATGTTGATCATAGAAAATTTAGAAAATATATATAAAGAAGAAAATAAGTCTATAATCTCACTCTATGACTTTGTATATGATCTTTTTGTTGTGGCAAACAACATTTACCTATTTGTTTATTACAAAATGGGAGTGGGTTTCATGCTTTATTCTGTACAGTTTTTCTCCCCCTGCCATCTAAACATCATGTTTAATTGTTTCATAGTATTCCCTGAATTATTTATATAATTGGTCCTCTGTGTTGGACTTTTAGGTGGCTTCCTATTTACTATAGTAAATACACCTTAACGTTAGTACTCCTTAAATATCCTTCACTATAATAAATACTTTGAATTTCAGTTGTGTTCGTGGTAGTTTCTTTTAAAAAAACTAGTAAGATCTGATCTATTGGTCTTTCTTTAGGATTCTACCTTTGATGTCATGTTTAAACTTGCAAAGAATATGTAGTGATTTGCTTATGTTTTATTTCTTTTTAACATTAAAAATTTCAATCTATCTGAAATTTATTATGATGTATTATATGGGGCTTGAGTCTAATTTTAGAGTATTTTCTTGGAGCCTGCAATTTGTGTCAAGAACTTTGTTAGCAATAGAAGATCATATCATAGATCTATTTATGATAAATAATACCAAGTTTCATATAATGGGTTTTATGGTAACTATAAATTATTAATTATTGAATTGACTGAAATTAGTGAAGCAACTCTGAGAATCTGGTTCACTTACTATATAGTAATATACCTCTAGCTTTATACATTTTGTTCCCCAGTTTCACTGACTCAGGAAAATGTTACAGGCAAATGTTCTGTTTGGAAAGATTCTGTGTTTCATAGCTGTTAGGTTTGTATGAGAGCATACCTAGTACATTATTGGCTTATAAATGTTAAAAAATAGGGCGCCTGGGTGGCTCAGTTGGTTAAGCGACTGCCTTTGGCTCGGGTCATGATCCCGGAGTCCCGGGATCAAGTCCCACATCGGGCTCCCTCCTCAGCGAGGAGCCTGCTTCTCCCTCTGACCCTCCCCCCTCTCATGTACTCTCTCTCTCTCTCTCATTCTCGCTCTCTCAAATAAATAAATAAATCTTAAAAAAAAAATAAAAAATAAATGTTAAAAAATAAATTACCTAAATTTTTACCAATTTTACAAATATATTTATTTTGTTTTTTCTAGAATCTGTGTTTGTGGCTATCCCCGACAACATGTAAGAAAATACAAAGGTATAAGTAGCAGGATACCAGTTTCTTCAGGATTCATGGTGCAAATGTTAACAGGGATTTATTTTGCCTTGTAAGTTTATTTAATATACAAAGTAAATCTTTGATCTCTTTGAAATATCATAGTCTGTTGTTTTATTGTTATTATATTATAAACTTGTTGGATAGACAATCAGCATATTTTTGTGAAAATATGAATCAAGATTTTTTTTTTTAAAGATTTTATTTATTCATTTGAAAGAGCGACAGAGAGTGTAAGCAGGGGGAGGGGTAGCGGGAGAGGGACAAGCAGACTCCCTGCTGAGCAGGGAGTCTGACACAGGGCTTGATTCCAGGACCTTGAGATCATGACCTAAGCCAAAGTCAGACACTTAACTGACTGAGCCACCCAGGCACCCCGAATATGAATCTAGATCTTGCTAATAGTTTTATTACTTAAAATATATCTCTTAATGTTCTGAAGAATTTGTTACCAACTAAAACATTTTATCTTTCTTTAACTCAAGGACAGAATGAAAATTAGCAACACCCACATATACTCAGTTTCTTTCTTCATTACTTTTTTTTTTTTGCTGTAATTTCCAAATAGTTTTTTTTCCCCAATAAAGACCTTTTTCCATTTCCAGAAATTTTAACTCTTGAAAAAATCTTAGAGCCTCTTTGATCACAAGTAGCTTATTATTAATTATTAATTTCTAATATTAATGCTCAGTCTTACTTAATGCCTTAGATACTAGTATTTTTCTTTGAACCCTATCTTCTACTACACATATCTTATTATACTTTGCATTATATTCATTTGATACCTTAATTTTTCTTAGTAGATTGTAAGCTTCTTGACTGAAGGTAGAATTTATAATCTTTGGACTAAATATGGCCTGCTGCCTATTTTCTTAAAAGTTTTATTAAAATACACTTACACCAGTTTACATACTGCCTATGGCTGATTTTGTGCTACAGTGACAGAGATGAGTAGTTGCAATAGAGATTGTATGGCCCACAAGCCTAAAATATTTATTACCTAGCCCTTTAAGAAAAAAATTTATTGACCCTCATGTTAGACCATTAATATTGTCCTGCAGCTCTTGGATGCTCTGATCTGTTTTATTTTCTGTCTTTATTGCTTTGTGTTTCAGATTTAGTAATTTCTGTTGACCTATCTTCACATTCATTCATTCTTTTCTTGATGATGTTGGGTCTATTAATGAGCCCACTGACAGGGTTCTTCATTTCTGTTACTGTGTTTTATTTCTAGTCTTTTCATTTGACTCTTTCTTATGGTTCCCAACTCTCTGCTGAAATCACCATCTGTTCATACATGTTTTCCATCTTTTCCACTAGAGCTTTTAATATTTTAATCATAATTATTTTAATTTCCCTGATAACTATAAAATCTGGATCATTTCTGAATTTGGTTCTATTGTTCTTTGTCTCTTGACAGTGGGTTGCTTTCTTCTTGCTTTTTGTGTGCCTTGTAAAATTTGATTGATTATCATTTTGTTCATGGATAGAACAGTAGTGGCTGAGGTAAATATTATTTATGCCTGGAAATGGCACGCCTCTTTTCTTCTAGGCTTCTAGTGGAGTTATTATAGGCAGGAGTGAGCTGAGGTTGGATTTTGTGGTTGCTATGGTTACTTTCATGGTACCGCCTACTTCAGATTCCTCTCATGGTACCTGGCAGTTAGGGTGTAAGCTGGACTGCTGGAGGGTTTTTCTCAATATTCTTGTTCCTTCTCTGCTTTTAGCTTTCCCTGTGTGTCTGCACCAAAGAAACAGTCTTTCTACATGTTCTTTTCCCCTCCTTCAGCAATAGAGTGCCGTTGCTTGTTTCTGAATGTGTACTGGCCTGGGTGGGGGCTTGGGGGGAGTGGTGTTCTCTGTTGTCCTGGTCAGCATCACTTATAAGCAGGACCTATATCCCTGTATCTGGGGTTGGGGGAAGAGGGTAGCTTTTCAGTGGTCCTGTCCCTCCTCCAGTGGTAAGAGACCTTTAGTGGTCTCAACATAGGACAGTTTCCTGATCCTTTGCCACAGGTAGAGGTTTTTTTTTTTTTCTTTTTCTTTCCCTCACAGCCACAGTCAGTTTTCACCTCTGCCCTTGGGGTGAGAGGGTTTGCTGCTCTTTCCCCAAAGGCTTTAAAACTTATTTCACATGAGAAAAAGGTCTGGCTGGATCATCAGGCCTTTCTTGCTCAGGTGGCTGCTCTTCTCCTTCAGGCCTGAACTACCAAGAGCAGCTTTCTCTGGTCCCTCGCCTTGCCCCCAGTTTTTCTTATGAGTGCCTAGAGGAGGTTTGTGGAAAAGAACTTGTAACTGGGTGTGAGCTTCCCTTTGTATCTGTTCCTAGAGATTCTATACACTCATGCTGGTCCATACTGGGCTTTTAGCAGTTTAAACGCTTAGCTGAAGTCTTCTTACCTGCTTGCATTGTGGTCTATCTCTCTTTAGAGGCATCTGTCTGCCCTTAGGTTTCAGGTTACTTGGCTGCGTTGTGATTTTAGTTCCTTGCTGGATTAATGGAAAGCTATGATTTTATAGATTATCTGACTTTATTTTTAGGGTGGGAGCAATGCTCTTTCCATTTTTTAGGACTCATTTGCACTCTCGATATAATTCATTTCTTTATTTTTGTTGGCAGATGACCAAGACATTATTTCTTTGTCCATTTTTATCATTTACCTAGTTTTTAGACCTTGGTCTTATCTTTGAAAATTAATATACATACACACTTTTTCCCCCAATATCTGATATTTGCAACATATATCATGTACACTTCCTAATGACTGTCAGAATGCAAAGACGTAACTATTTAAGATACTGTAAGCCACAGTAGTTGTAAATTCTCATTAAAAACTGTGGGAGTTACAGAATAATTTGACCATAAAGTGTTCTGAACATTATTCTAAGGTATATAATTTATTATGCTCCGACTTGCTTTAAAAGTGTAGAAGGCTTTGAAATTGCCTCACTTTTTTGATATCTGGTCTATAAATAGACATGTTCTTTAGAGAAGAAATATGTATCTATAGAATTTTCTTTGCTGTTAATAGGCTTTCAGATACAATTGAAAGGAATTCAAAGATATAAAAATATGTTTTTAAGGAGGGTGGAATGCTAATGTGATCTATTACTTTACTCAGTAAACAGCTTCTCATTGTATTTTGTTCAAATATATAGAATTAATTGAAAATAATATTACTTTCTTTATTTAATTTTACAGTTATAATGGAGAATGGGATCTAGCTCAAAAAGCATTGGATGACATTATATACAGAGCTCAGCTAGAATTATATCCAGAGCCATTGCTGGTAGGTGCCTCACTTGTTTATGTAATAAAATTTCTCAATTTAGAACTATAAATTGAGAAGTAGCCATTCATAGTGTATTAGTGTCATTAAACTCAGTGATTCATGCTTCTGTTGTACTAGGAAAATTTTATGCTTGAAAAGGTGTATATAATTTGAGAATTTCATTAAGCTAACTTCTTAGATACCTGATAATAGTCTTTTAAACTTGTAAGAATGTTCTTCTTAACATGATAGAGCTGCATTTATTAATTAGCATTAGGCAAGGGGCGCCTGGGTGGCTCAGCTGGTTAATTAGCATTAGGCATTTGGAAACATAAGTTCAATATTTTGGAATTTTAAATTTCATCATTTACATATTATTTTTAACTATAGTTTCCTTCTGAGCTCTTACTCCTTATTCTAGAAGATTTATATATCATCCTATGAAATACCTTGGAAAAGTATTCTTCTTAAAAACCTGTTAAAATTTGGCATTTTGTTTTATGTAAGGGTGTAACACATCTGTTAATACCCATCTTAAACCATATATTTTTTTTCTTAGGTGGCTAATGCCATAAAGGCTTCATTGCCTCATGGTGCCATGAAATCTAGTAAGGAGGGTACAAGGTGTATTCAAGTTGAAATCACACCAACTTCCTCTAGAATATCAAGAAATGCAGTAACCAGCATGTCAATAAGAGGTCACAGGTGGAAAAGACATGGTAAGAAATAAAAAAGTCTTCAAATTAGAGGATTATTGATTCTATCACATTTTTGTCTTTACCTTCAGTGCTATACCTTCTAATTTAGTAAATAACATTGTGGTGGCATGGAAGAAAGAGCTGTTGGATCACCTTTAATTCCTAAATTATTATCCACAAGTGATAAGCAGTAAGGCAAATATAGCCCCTTATGTTACATATATGAATGAAAATTTATTTAAACATTGTGTTGGTTTTTAAATTTTACTTCAATAGAATAGGAGAGTAGGAAAATGCATGTTAAAATTATTCACACATGGGTTTCTATTCAAAACTATTTGCAAATATTCTTTAGTGTTTCTTATTTCTCAACTAACTCTTTGGCAAGTAAACTTGCATATTGAAGTAGAACAACTAATAGGGACTTTGACATTTTTTTTTCTACTTCCTGGTCAAGAATGCCATTGTATTGATGGCAACTCTAGCTAGGCCTTTCTATTTCCTGGATGTTAATTTTCTTCCAGGACTGTTTGTTTTAATATTCCTCCTTGACTGCTTCATTTTATTACTGAAAAATTCCACAGGAAATTAATTTTATTTATCATGGCCTTCTCAATGCTTTCCCACTTCTCTCCCTTTCTTATAATTTATTATTTTAATTTAATTTCTTACTCTTTTTATAACTCCTCTCCTACCTACAAGTGTTATTGTAGTGGCAAGATCAGTGTAAGTTACTATCGCCTCCCTCAGAAGGTAATCAGTTATAGGACAAGAAGCAAAAAACCACTGCCCCAAGCAAACACATATATTACTCTATTTTCTTCTTCCTGTAAACTATGTTGAAAATGTAGCTCCTTTTGGTATATTTGATTTCAGTTGTCTCTATGGTCTCTGCAGAGAAAATGCAAAAGTGAGAATATTATTCATGGTGAAAGAGAAAGTTGATGATGAGAACATTGTTCCTACTTAAGAATTCTAAGAAATAATATGTCACAAGGGAATGATGATAGAAAGTTCCAGCTTAACCAATAAGCGTTTTCAGTCATTTTATTTTTTAAAGAAGTGTGACAATTCTTGAAATTTCTTTAGGAAGGCATAAAAGAGGTGGTAATGTTTGCCATTAGCAAGGCAAATGATGCTACGATTTAAAACATACAGAGTCTAAACATACTTTAGTTTCTTCAGTGAAAACTATGCTACTGAATGGGACTAGATTATAGGTCAAAAGTCATTTAATTAGTATGGTGGCATCCTAGAGATCAGTTTTCTGTTTTGGCATTAAGAGGTGAAAATAGGCACAAAGGCAATGAACCAGATCATATAGGTCACTGTGGCCATAATTGCTCCCAAATGCCTACAGAAAATGCAAGAATGAATTTTAATTCATTTTCCACATTCCCTTCTTGCTCCTTAGGTGATTGTGTGGGGAATTAGAAAAAAATATAGAGGTTCTGCAGTTAAAAATGTGAAATATTGAAATTTGATTGTATTTGGGCATGTGTGTGTGAGAAAGAGGTGTGCATATGTGTCCATGCATGCATTTAACAGAACAAGATGTTTACCCTGCAGTAAAATAGAAGCAATTTTCTAGAAATATTTTATAGGAATAAATTACCAAAATAAGAGCGAAGACTACTTGAATATGTTTTATCTATTAGATTCTTACATATCTTCCAGATTCCATTTTGGCTACCACTTGAGGGATTGGTCCTGTGTTTTAAGGCTATAGCCTCATTAAAGTAATCTTCCTTATCACCTATCCCCTTACACTCATTCCACCCTTCAAAACTCTAACACTTGGGCAACTCTATGGTGACAAAAAAAGTCACAGATGAGGATTTAGAAGAGAATGAACTATAAAAAAGCAAGTCAGGTTCATGGAACAGATGCAGAATATGGCTTACCTTGTTTACCAGTCTTCCGTAGTGTGAATTCCCTTTATCCAATGACCAAAATACTCCTACTCTAAGATACTTATTTATCTCCACAGGTAGGTTGCATTCTCCCTTTTTACAGTAGTCTTGGTTTTCCTAACCAGAGTATTTTTCACTGTTACCTGTCCTGTTGAATTAAAAACTATTGTTTTCCATCTTTGTGATGCTGATTCCTACTTTGAACACCTTATTTATTCTGAGCTCTCTAACCAACACTGGCTTCTTGTGGGGAAGATAGGTAACTTTGTGATAGCTGTTAAATATATAGACAATTCTCAAATTATAATGGATTTTTAAATTTGTTTATATATAAATTATATTTATTCCATTTATATATCAATTATATAAATTTTAACAAAATTTAATTTATACATTAATTTTTGCAGAAACAATTTTTTTTTTTTTTTTTTTTTTTTTTCAGAAACAATGTTAAAGGGTTTGTAGATTCCAGGGTGACCCACAAAAGCCTTTCATCCCATAATGTTTCTGAAGCATAGGATATAGGTTTAGTTTATGACTGTGTGAAAACTGTTTCTTGATTTGATGAACCTCTACATTGTTTCCTGTTCCACCTATATCCTTACCACTCCCTTACTACACCAACCCTCCCAGGAGTAAGGATTTCTTCCCAGACGCTGAACTGTATCACACAGTAGGAAAATGGAATATGCAACTTTAAGACAGTGATAATGAGAGCTGGGGAAGGAGAAGGGACAGGAAACATGAACTTTAAGGAATATTCCTTTTTTCCCCTTGTCTCTTTCTTTGTTATTGCCAGTTGCCAGGAAAGAAGAAAGCTATTGGTCCTTTTTTCTTTCCTTGGGTCTCTCTCCTTTTTCTTTTCTTTTTTCTTGTATTTATGTCTTTTTTAAATATTGAGATATAATTGACATACATTATATTAGTTTTGGGTGTACAACATGATTTAATATATGTATATATTGCAAAATGATTACTACTCTAGCGTCTACCAAGTCTAGTTAACATCCATTGCCACACATAGTTACACATTTTTTTTGTGATGAGAACTTTTAAGATCTACCCTCTTAGCAACTTTCAAATATACAGTATAGTATTATTAACTCTAATCACCTTATATCCTAACATCCCCAGGAGTTACTTATTTTATAACTGGAGGTTTATACCTGTTGACTATCTTCACCCATTTTGCTCACCACACCCTGCCCCCAACCCCTGCCTCTGGCAACCACTAATCTGTTGTCTGTATCAATGAGCTTGGTTTGTTTGTTTGTGTTCTACATATAAGTGAGATCATATGGTATTTGTCTTACTCTGATTCATTTCTTTTTTTTAATATTTTATTTATTTATTTGACAGAGAGAGACAGCAAGACAGGGAACACAAGCAGGGGGAGTGAGAGAGGGAGAAGCAGGCTCCCCGCAGAGCAGGGAGCCCGATGCGGGGCTTGATCCCAGGACCCTGGGACCATGACCTGAGCCGAAGGCAGACACTTAACGACTGAGCCACCCAGGCGCCCCTCTGATTCATTTCTCTTAGCATAATGCACTCAAGGTCATCCATGTTACTGCAAATGACAGGATGTCCTTTTTTATGGCAGCATAATATTTCATTGTATATATGGCACATTTTCTTCATCCATCAATGATAGACATTTAGGTTGCTTCCATATTTATGCCTATTTATTGCCTGTCTCCTTTTTTCTCCTTTTTCTAGCCTATCTGGGGAGAAGAGGGAGAGGAGTAAAAGAGGCTCTCCCATGGAAGCAGCCAAGCAGAACTTTTTTTATTTTCTTTCCATTTCTTTTTATTATTAAAGAATATAGATAATTAAGCCATATGAACATATTAGTATGTTTGCATATCTGAATCACCCAAAATTACCCATGCTAACAAATACATTAAATTGAACTAATTAATCACATATATTCTTTTATTTGTAGCAGAAAAAACTTATCTTTACAGCAAAAGTTAATTGATATTTTAGTGATTTTAAAACTAATTTGGAACAGTTTTTATTTCTTACATTAAAATTTTTTTTCTGAGCTCTTCTAGAATGTATCACAGATCTGCCATTCTTTTAAGTCAAGAATTATCCAAAGTTTATATTTTAATAGAAAGTATTCTTTTGGAAGGTAAAAAACTAATAGCTTTAACACTTCCACTCATGTCAGAACATATATTCCTTGCCATGGTCTTATTACTATTGAATAACAACCCAAATTTCTAGGATTGTATTTTGATCAGTTTAATTGCTTGGCCCTGTATTTATTATATGATAATAATAGTAGACTTTATTTTTTAGAGCAGTTTTAGGCTCACAGCAAAACTGAATGGAAAGTACAATACCCATATACCCTCTGACCTCTCCCCCCAATACACACATATATCATCCTCCACTATCAACACTCTGCACCAGAGAGTTACATTTGTAAGGCCCTGTAATTTTAATTTTGACCACACAATGTATCCTCATATCAACTAAAGAGGGTGGCTTTTAAAGAAAAGCTGGTTTCTACTGAGATACTAATTTAGAGACATGTTTGACAATTAGTATTTTTGCGTAATTTTCCCCACTTCTCACTTGATTATCTTAATATTGTACTGACATGGCTTAACTTAATGGTGTGTTTTCAAACTTTTTAAACTTTGTGTATAAATTTCTGAGAAAAGTTTAATGACTTTATGATTCCATGCCAATACAAATGGAAAATGAAATTACAATGTAGAACTGCTGCTTTTGACTTTTAAGGGTCATAATTTCAGAATTAGTAGTTTTATTTATATATTGCTGATTCTTTTAAGCATACCATGTTTCACTTATTGTATATTTTTTAAACCTAGATTTTCAGACCACCTAGAGATTGAGGGGTATTTAGAAGTCATAATTTGAAGGTAAAATGCAACTAGGAAAGGATAATAATAGAATAAACATTTAAAAAGCATTAAGGTAAGGGAGGAATGAGTAGATTATGACCAGAGCAAGAATCAAAATGAAAATTCCAATAAGAAAAAGAAGATAAAATGAGGTAATTTGTTAATTTTTAAAATTAATAACAAAAATGCAATTCTATTAAAAATAAACAGAAATAGCTAAAAGGAAAACAGA